GTTCTTACAAGTTATCGTTTGCTCATTAATGCAAAGACGGCTGCAAGCACTCAAGTGTCTAAGCTAGTTTCTTGGAAAATGGAATAGTGCAAAGAAACACGCAAGCATTTAATGCTCTCTACATTTCTGAAGGCAGCAATGGTCATTTTGTTCTTACTATATATAGAAGGACATTTATTGCAAGCCCACCAACAAATAAAATTTCAAAAAGAAGCAAGAAACTACGTGAAAAATTCTGGGCTCACAAACTCTTTGTTCATACACTTTGTGCAATTTATTCTAAGTGAAAAATCACAGTTGTGATATAGCTTGATTAGAAGCAAATTTTATTTCACTATCTGTAAAGATTAAACTCTTGTAATTGTTCCTTGAGAGACCAATTTTGGTCAAATTTCTCAAGCAGACTAGGACCAGATTTAAGTCTTAGTGGTGTTAGTCACATGTAAGATTACTTGTGCATTGTTAGTCACAACAGTTGTTGTGTGTTTGTAATCAGTTGATTATAGTGGATTAAGTCCTTGTTGAGAAAGGCGAAATCACCTTGACGGGTGGACTGGAGTAGTTTGAGTTCAAACGAACCAGGATAAAAATAACCTTGTCCTTCCATCAACATCCTCCTCGACCACTAGTTTCGGCCAACAACATGGAAAAATACGACGTCTTAATGACCACATCAATACAATCCATAATTTCTGACACTCTGCTCAAAACAACACAACAATGGGCAACTATATTTCCTATCAACATATTCATTAATTGTACGAGACAGTCACGTAGAAACCTTCCTAAAACAACCACAACAACAATTTACTAATTTTCCTGCCAACCGCTCGGAATACCACAGCTTCATAACGACCATAACAACGAGTGATAAACTACCCTAACCTATCCATCGATTATATCGGGCAATCCTACAAACAACTCAAAACGTCCACAACACGGCTAGCAGCCAACTTCAGTAACATGTTCACTAATCATGCGATACAGTCCTACGGTGACTCCCTAACGACCACAACATAGAGAAACGGGCAACTTCGATAACAAATCCAGAAACATCAACGCACACAGTCATACAAATGACTAATTCCCATATAATACACATCATAAATCCAATTATAAGTTCATAACTCCACCCTTACCTGAATTGAAGGTCGCTCTACCAACTTCCAGCCGACACCTTTGCTTTGGTCCGCTCGACACTGGGCAACTTGCTCCTCTCTCCGTGCAGCTCTTCCGGTCAACGCATAAACCCTTATTCACCAACTAAATCAAATTATTATGTCAGCTTAACCTTATACCTCAATTCTATTGGGCTTAACTTACACACCTCCACTTTACTACTTTCAACCAATAAAATAAGCCCAATTCCATTAAATCCAACATTATAATTATTATTAATCAACTAATTAATTAATTAATAATAATCCAACAACTTATACCAACAATTCTCAACATCTCACAACTTTTCAACAAATAATCCAAAAATAATTTAATTAAATAATTAATTAAATTAACGGGCGTTACTGCTTCCCTATAGGTACAGGGAGAGCCGCAATGGGTAGATTTCTGTAGTGATTTAGGGGGATTTGGATGCTAAGATTATGGCCCGTATTGATCCAAGAAAGGTAGCTTGCTTATCCCTCTGGTAGGAGCTCATCTGTATGTCTGCATTATGAATGTCGTAGATCTCTCCCTTCTGGATCCCTAGAGGACCCTTTATATAGTTGATCACGGGCCTAATAACCATTAATCCTCTTTTGTAACGTTTGTAATCGTCTATAAGTATTGTAACGTCCTTATTAATCATGTGTAACTACATGTTTAATGGTTTGTAACATTTGTCTCATCAATCACACGTATGTCGAGCTCATACCCGACAACTTACTCAATGCCGATCCTGGGTCCCACATTTGTCGAGCTCATACCCGACAGCTTACTCAATATCAGTTCTGGGTCACACCTTGGCTTGCCCTATATTGGCATGTATTTCATTCTTTATCTGAGTTCATAGCTCGATTTTGATAAAAATATTCTGGGATATACATAAGCCCTCGAAGCACGAGGTCCCAAAAGGAGTGAAGTGTTCGAACAAAAGAAACCCGATGTTTTTTATCCCGAGTCTAGGTGCAAAGTTGAATCATCTAACACATTTCATAGCCAACTCATAGCATATTTTTAGACATTTCATAAGTTTTGGAAAACTCATGTATAGATCTTGTTTTGTTTTTTGGAGACCTTGTTGTATTACTTTCCAGTGCATTATGTTTATGCCCATCTGAAGATCTGAAGCCTTTTGAAGGTTTTGTACTCTCATAGCCATTCAATTATAGCCCCGTGTGAATATCTAGCCGAGTTTAGTACCTTGAAGGTATGTCTTATGCCCATGTCAGAGATATATCCCACCTGACTTTAGTATATGCAAAGGGCCTGATTACCCCGATTACACTTATGCTTACCGAGGTCTACATCCAACATTTTCATAGGATAATTCACACTTTTGGTCTAGTTGGTCAGTCACCGATTAGACTATCTTTAATAGTATCACAAAGTAGTGAGATTAATGTTTGTTTATCCCTGACTTTTGAGTGGATTGGACAAAGGTCTTCGTTTTAACCCAGAAATCTACCACACTTTAGGATTTTTCAATAGGCGTCTAGAGCCCCTTGGGGCTTGCTTAACCGAGTTCACGTCCCGACTTGGATAGAATATCCCAAGGTGTATACACTAAGCCTCCCTCGGCACGAAGTCCGTAGGAAAGAAGTGTTCAAACTAAGAAGTCCCAAGTTTTATCTGAAGTCCGACACTAATCTTTGTTTTAGACGGAGCTCAAAGTTATTCTGAAGTTTATGGGAACTCATACGTTTTATAAGTCCCAAGCTTTTTGAGGTTCAGCGATCATCCTTTTGTTCGCATCTTCGAGATAATGAGCCCCAAGCAAACTTGTTGAGTCTGGCAGTTACCACAATGGGTTTTATCCGTCCGATTTAGAATACTCTTTACTGTTAAGGTAGGTGTTATTTCGCTGGTGATCAATAAAAGCCTCAGGTTTCATCAGATAATGGTCAAATGTTTATTAACTTGACCAGGCTCAAGGCATACTAACATAGCTGACGAGTTGCGGCACTTGACCATTTAGTGGATAAGGATTATTATTACACGGAGGCGGGGTTGACCAGCCGAGCCTTGATTCCACTTCGGTGATGTATTTAACTCTTTTCATGAGAGGTGTAAGGTTTTTCCTCTTACACGAGGGATATTTATTGTAGAACTCGAATCTTATACGAGGAGTACTTTTTATGGAACTCGACTCTCATACGAGGAGTGTTTTCGTAGTACTCGACCCTTAAATGGGGAGTGTCATTAGTGGCGGATAGAGGCCCTAAGGCGTATGACTATGACTTTTTCCTGCGGGCTTTGTACTTTGAACTGTCCTTTGCGGCTTTTATAATCGTATTGTCATTTTGCTTTTACTTGTTTTTGCTTTGACTTCTCAACTTTTACCATAACTTAAAATAGCCATGTGCATGTATCTAAGCCCCTCGGATACAAATTCCTTTTGGTTGTATGTATCTGATCATGTAGTGTCGGGCATTATTATAAGTTTTAAGATCCTGGCGACTTTTTTATGATATTCGTTTGATTTTTCCGAATGATTTATAGCCCTTGGCGGGTTGTAGATTTAGACTTATCTTTGATGTATAAAGTCTTCTTGGGCATAGGGACCATTATGATGTCCGTTCATCCGGGTTCTGTCACGAGCAAGGCACTTTTTGAATGCGAGGTCTTATGAGTAGGCGCTTTAGATGTTATATACTCGGCCTTGTGTTTTTCAGCTATTTTTATGAAATCAGCATTGGTGAATCCTTTAAGATCCCCGGGCTTGTCTGAGGTTGGGTGATCATCCACTTTGTTCATATCTTCGGGATAGTGAGCCCCAAGCTAACTTGTGTCTGGGAGTTACCACCACGAGTTTTATCCTTCCGGTTTAGTATTATATCGCCGAGAATAAAAGCCCAGGGTCTCATTAGGCACTGGTCAGAGGTTTATTAACTTGACCGGGCTCGAGGCATATTAATATAGTCGAGGCATCATGTGTTTTAAAGCCTCGTTACCCGGAGGTAAGGTTGATCATTTATTTACGCCAGATGCCTTGAGTTTGCATGGATTTTTAACTTTACTTAGCCGAGACATTGTTTATAGGTATGTCGGCTTAATCCGGGGAACCTGGCCGGCTAAGCCTTTGACTCCATTATGGTAATGTACTCAACTCTATATGAGGAGTGTGGTTTATGAACTCGACTCTTTATGTAAGGGGTGTCAATTATAGTATTACGACCCTTAAACAGGGAGTGTCAATTATAGTACTACGACCCTTAAACGGAGAGTGCCAATTATAGTACAACAACCTTTAAACGGGGATTGTCAATTATAGTACTACAATCCATAAACAATTATAGTACTACGACCCTTAGACGGAGAGTGTCATTTATAGTACTACGACCCTTAAACAGGGAGTGTCAATTATAGTACTACAACCCTTAAACGGAGAATGTCAATTACAGTACTACGACCCTTAAACGGGGAGTGTCAAATTATAGTACTACAGCCCTTAAACGGGGAGTGTCAAATTATAGTACTACGGCCCTTAAATGGGGAGTGTCAAATTCAGGTTTTGGTTCAGAGCCTCCTTTTCCCTAAGGCGAGGTTGGCCGACATTCAAAGCCATTTTTGCCCGAAGGCGATGTTGACGTAAAGTTTAGTTCAGAGTCCCTTTGCCCGAGGCGAGGTTGATTGGGTATTGGTAGTTCTTCTTCTGGCCAGAGCCAATTTACCGATCCTATTTACATATAGTTCAAATCCTACCTAATTTTGAGACTAATAAGAATAGGGTGCCTCCAGCCCACACAAGGGAGAAGGACGACACTTTTTACTTTCTTTAGTAAATCTAGATGAGTTATTTTACAAACGGAAGGGACAATAATTCACCTTATACAACAATTCTAATTATTTAGTCTTAATAAAATAGGTACATACATGGTAAGCATATCTATGAATACCACTAATAATAAATATGTCAAGATGCACTCCAAGTTAGAATATTTTGCTAATAATTGCAGGTTGTGGCTTACTCTCGGTTTATATGATACAATGACGATGGCAACGAAGTGAATCAAAACAAAACAAGTGAATGCCCTTGCATTAGTGGAACCTATGCTGCTTATCCATTTAACGTAGTTCAGATGTTGTGTAGTCACGCTCATGATCACTCCTGGTCAGCACTCCTGGTCACCTTAACATGAAACACATATAAAGGTTAGTGTATCATGAAATGGCGCCGGAAATGTTCCTTTATATACATGTTACTTCTCGGAAAATAAAACATGCTTGATAGAATATATTCAAAGCATTAATCATGATGAGAGCATAGACAAAAAGGAGTTTTTCTACCGATAGACCCATCTGTGAATCGGTAATAGCGTTAACCCCTCCCTTTGTGAATGAAGTAATTACCACAATAATTAGAGATACTTTCTAGTATTTGGATACACATAGAGCATCACGTGTCCCTAGTATCTTACTACTACTTCTCTGATAACATTATCATCAATATAGCCTAATTTACAAAGGTTGCTGAACTACTCAGTGGAAATATTGAAAAGGAATGATGATATATCATCAAGATCAGTAAAGTATCATTGCATTTGGTAACGTATCCCTAGCTTTAACATCAATAGGAATAATTGAGTGCTTTTATACATTTTAAGATCAAAGGCATACTCATAGAAAGAATATGCTAACACCAACTAGTCATGGTAATCCATGCATGGTTTTTGTCAAAAAAAGATATATGAAAAGTATTGTGATTGATATATCTAATCAGGAAAGATTCACGCTGAGACATATTTTCTAAACAAAACATGCACATGGTGGCGAGTGAGTAAATTGCATGGTTTAGTAGTTCATTTTAGGCCCTTACCTTTTGCTATTCCGGAAAGCCGACGATGTCAGAGTCATAGACCTGTTCGGTTTTGTGTAGGCATGTGGACAATCCGAACTGTCGCAGCATAGATCGGGTGCAGCATTCGCCTACTTCAGTTCATCAGCCGTAACGTTCTGCATTGCCACAGTCACACGCCTTATCTTTCTTTGCAATAGCAGCAGCCTTTTCCAAACTCGGATGTTTGCGAATTTCATACGGAATCCAGTACACTTGTTAGATATATAACATGTAGAATACCCACTCTCGATGGGGGTTTCTTCCGAGATCAGCCCTGCAGAGATTCGTTCAGAACTATGAAAATTCAAGAACACCCTTACAATTGTACAATTGTATCACGGATGGGTAGTAATATTCAAGGCACCTAAAATTAGCAGACTACAGCAAGATAACACTTTTCGTTCAGATTAATAAAGCTTCAATCTATATGTTTTAAGTAAAATTTTAAGACAAATATCCTAGATAACAACATGATAGCAACATTGAGCCGGGAACATAGAGTACCCTTTACCCTTGAGGTCCTGCTTTACATACTTTGAGTAACACATGAACATATAGTTGAAGTAATTGCTATCATAATCATCTAATGCAATATGTAAGAATCTTAAACATTACATACAAATACTGAGTGTAAAGGACTTATCTCTTAACATGGATGCCGCAGTTATTTCAGTCGTCACAATTTCCACACCACTGCTAATTGGTCCTTGAAATTGCTATAAGACTGTTTCATCTCCTGTTATACCGCTACACTAAGATTAACACGAGTAACAGCCCCTGCTATCTTTAATGGCGGATTTCACAACGGTTGAATGCCTGACTTTTGCAGCAGCTCGACAGTCCCTAACAAGAAGAGGAGGTTCTCTTTCTTCCATTCCCGGCGGTGCCACTGCAGCCCCATCACTTCAGAGATACCAAAGCTATTATTCATATAAGTCTCTTACTTGTATCCTTGTGGTTGCTAATTGTCATATCCCTTTAAGATATTGACCACATAAGTCGGATATAATATTAACCATCAATGCCTCGGAGTCCCCATATTTCCTTGGAAGTAACGTTATTTTACTCATTATCAAACAGTTGCCAGTTGCAAATGTATGACTCATAAATATGCATTAATTATTGAAAATAAAACGCATAATCAATTTGAAGAGAAAATGACGTTAGCATCGGTGATAGAGAACCCATGGCTTCATTGCGGCCTAACCAATCAATGTGAGGAATAAGAACCGCCGACTCCAAAGGCCATGGGGCGTATTTTCGTTGTTGCAGTCGTCTCCATTTTCGTATTATTGCGACAATGGGAACGATTACCACATCGGAACAACTATTACCTCATCGAACGTGAGTACCGCATTGGGAACGATTACCTCATCGGAAATGATCACCACATCGGGAACGACTAATCCATCGGACATGATTACCACAACGGGACCGACTACCACATCGGAAACGGTCTCGTCGCGACACCCTCAAAACTCGGCCATTCGTAAGATGTTACATGCAGAGCTGGAGCTAGGACCTTAGGTAGGGGTGCAAAAATAAACAAATTCTAAGTAAATTAATTGTGTAAATAAAAAAGTTTAAGCTAAAGAGTTTAAAGCGCAATCTATATATACAAAATAAAGGTGCAAAAGTAAATAAATTCAAGATGATGCAAATGAATAGATGATGCAAATAAAAATTTTCAGGGGGTTCAAAGTGCAATTTATATGGATATTTAGATACAATATTTAAAGTTAAGGGGTTTAATTAAACTCTCTCAAATGGACTGTCTTCGCCATTGGTTACACGTGCGTCATTGAGTGGACTGAGGAAATTCTAACTTCGATGACCCAACAGTTCACCGGATATAGTTTGACACAAAAAGGAAAAAGTGCCAAGCATCATGAAGAAGATCATCGTGTGTATCTGATATTTGAAGTGATGGTTATTTATTTTCCTTCATTTGTAACACAATCACCTAAGGAAAAGGTTCTAAGACCTTCGGTTAACCGTATCTATTGGATGGTTATTGGATGGTTCAACGCGAACCTCCTACAAAAAGGTACTTTCTCCAGTCATTGTTATAAGTAAAAATTCTTTTTTTTTTAATTCTTTGAGTAATGAATGTATCTAGTCTACATAAAAGACCAGATACATTCATTATTCAATTAACCTAAAAAGAGAATCGTTGCTTATAATAATGGCCAGAGAGAGTAATTGCTTAGCTATTATTGTGTGGTCTGGGAACATTTTATCAGAGTCCTACGGTGGACGCCAAATGTTCTCACGTAAGAACAATAAATGAGTAGCTTTCTTATAGGTATATGGAGAACTACAATGGATAGATTTCTGTAGTGATTTATGGGGATTTGGGTATAACGATTATGGCTCGTATTGACCCAAGAAAGGTATCTTGCTTATCCCTCTGGCGGGAGCCCCTCTGTATGTCTACATTGTGAATGTCGCTGATCTCTCTCTTCTGGATCCCTAGAAGACCCTTTATATAATTGTTCACGAGCCTAATGACTACTACTACGCTTTCGTAACATTTGTAATCGTCCATAAGTACTGTAACATCCTTATTAATCATGCGTAAATGCATGTTTAATGGTTTGTAGTGTTTGTCTCATCAATCACACGTCTTTCAAGCTCATACCCGACAGCTTACTCAATGCAAGTCCTGGATCCCACGTCTGTCGAGCTCATACCCGACAGCTTACTCAATGTCGGACCTGGGTCACACCCCGGCTTGTGCTACATTGGCCCGTATTTCATTCTTCATCCGAGTTCATAGCTCGATGTTGTACCCCAAAATTTGCCCTCCCATTTCCTCAACATTTTCTCATCACAAAGCCCTTTAAGCTCAAGATCCAGTTAGGGTTTCATCTGCTCAAGACTTCTCCTTGCACTATGGACCCAAATTAGGGTTTGTGTTTGCACAAAGATGTTTTGACCTAAAATGCCTAAGATGACTTTCATACTTCATATTGGACTCCCAAGTTTATCCATACCAAGTTTCAAGTCTTGATTCCAACTTTTGCCCAGTCAATCGGACAGTTGACCTAGAAATCAGTTGTATTGGGGAAAAAGTCAACTATGGCCAATTGACAGTCAAATCTCATGAAAATTGACCCACATCAACATTATGAACTCATATGAACCATTTGATCAAGTTTGGATCACAATTCCACAAGAAATTTGATCAAATCACCAAAAGGGCAAAATGGTCTTTTTTAGGATTTTGACTGCACAAAGGCAATTTTTGACTGTTTGACCCAACCAATGGCAAACCAAGCTCACATATGGACTCAAGGACCCCATGGAATTGTCTTGACATTCTCAACAAGCTCAAAAGATCCCAAGTACACAAGATTGACAATTGAATTTCCCAGTCAATTGATCAATTTTGACTGTATACTGAAAAGTCAAACTTTGACTTTTTGGTCAAAATCAAGAGTCAAGACTCATTTTTCATCAAAACATGCCAAATAATGAAACTTGTTCACCAAGAAATCACAAAATGCAAATTAGGGTTAGAAATTAGAATTTTTCATAACTTAGAATTTTTCTAAGTTATAAAAAACCCTAATTTTTTCTCAACTTTGCCCCACTTTTTCGCCAAGATCCATTTGGATTCAAACAAATGTCAAAACATGAAAGTTGTAGCTTGTTGCATAATCTACAACTTTGATTCACAAAGTTTTCCCATTTGAGGCTTGTATATCAAGTTACAAATTTTTGAATAAGGGCACTAAGCCATTCTTAACTTAGTAAATTTTTGACCTATTTTGACAAGGTTTTCTACCCCACTTCAAGGCCATTTTCCATACCCTTCCACTTGGAATTTCAATTTGCACTTCAAAGATGGATTGTAGTACACATTCTAAGCTTTCCAAAATATCCAAGAACTTCTCAAACAACCTCATGGTTAGGGAGAATCGAATTTTGCAAAATGAGAAAAAGTCACTTTTGTTCTTGGCCATGTACATGTTCATAACACTATGCATTTCAATCTCAGCTTGCATATCTTGATTACAGGTCCTTAAACCATCCAACACTCATAAATTTAATGCATATTCTTTGTGCCAAGGCCATGTTCTTTGTGTTCTAGCATTGCATAAAGGATTAATCCCAAAATAGATAAAGCATTTCTTCCATTTTTGCAAAAGGTAGCTTTATGTCCAATTACAAATCCAAGAAGTACAGTCCATATCTAATTGGCACAAGTTTATGAGTTAATCACACTGATCAATGAGGGATTATGCAGCATAGTATGAG